AAAAAAAAAAAAAGAGAAAGAACTTAAAAAAGAATCTGTATAAAAAAACTTAAATAAAAAGAAGCCCATAGAAGAAAAATTAAACCTTAGAGTAAAGAAAAAATTCATAAAAAAAAAAAAGAAAAAGAAATTATACTATTAATTATAAAAATATGAAAAAAAAAAAAATTATTTAAAAAAAACCATAAAATGTGAATGAACACATTCACGGAGAAAAAAAATATTATTACAAAATTTTTTCCCCGTTAAATTTACGAAAATCTTCGGAAAAACAAAAGTAAAAGTGTGTTTGTGTTTGTATGTGTGATTAATCTGATTTTTGATATTATTATAAAGAAAATTATATAATTAAAAAAAAAAAAGAAAAATATTATTTATATGGTGTATTATTAAAATAAAAAAAAAAAATTACACTAAAACGTAATAATGATCTGTTATACCGCCAAATACCAAATATTAAATAATGATCTGATCCTTTTTGTGCATTTTTCCCGCGAATATCAGGTTTAAAAATCGCCAAAAAAGTGTTCATTCATAAAGATTCAATTGTTTTTTTGAACACTAAAACTTTCTTTGCAAAATTTTGCAATACCAAAACAAATCTGTAAATAAATTTAAAAAACGTGTTAATAACCAGAAAACAATGCATTAATAAAATTAAAATCTTGATTTTGATTTTACATAATAATTATTTAACTTAAAATGTCTACAAAATATGTATTACTATAATAATAATTAAAAATAAATTACCTTAATTACTTCCGTTCGGTTTCGAAAAGGAAACAAAACAAAAAAAAAAAATATAATTATTTGTATTATATAATTAATTGATTGATTAATAACGACTTAATTATCAATCTCTCTTTTTTATATCGTTTTTTTTTACGTAATTTTTTTTTTTTAGAATTTATTATATATTCATTCAACGAAATAATTTAATACGACGGATAGCCGAATACTTTTTTTTGATGATGGTGATGATGATGATGATGTTGCTGCGCATCTAAATCACCCGTAGAATTACCTTGACTATCAATTAACATGGAACCCGAGTTTTCGGATGTTGACATCATTCCATTTGTAACTCCTCCACTATTTCCTAACATTCCTGTCATAGGTGCAAGTCCTGTTGATATATCATTTCCACCAACAAAATTTCCGCCAATTCCAATAGTTGACGGTGCACTGGTATTATTAGAAGCCTGATATGTTTGTGATTGTAAAAATGACATCGATGGAAGTGCGGAATTTTGATAAGGAAAATGCATTTGTGCTGAAGTAAATGTTGTATTTGTATTACTTGTTCCAATTAAAAGTGGTGCTAATGACGATGAATTCGAAGATGTCATTCTTAACGGTGATGTTGTAGTAACCGGACTATTATTTATTACCATCATCGTTTGAGCCTCATTTCCTGTTGGTGAAATTGTGTTCTGTTGTTGAACATTTTGATGTGGCTGAGTTTGATGATGTGACCATGGCTGATAATTATTATAATTCGATTGCCATGTTGAATTATTATCATGTTGTCTAGGTTGATTGGAATGTTGATGAATATAATGAGCAGATGTATAATTAATATCTGACATTAAAGTATTCGTATTATCAATTTTAGCAGGATTTGTAACTGGTGGATCTAATGGTGTAGGTGCTGCAAAAATTGATTGAGTTTGCTGCTGTTGTGATTGTTGATTCATTTGTTGTGATTGTTGTAATCCAGTAGATCCATGATTTAAAGAACCAAAATGTGGTGATCTAGTAGCAGCAGTTTGTGCAAGTAAACTAATTCCTGGTTGTGCTGATTGCTGTATTGGACTAAGTTTTTTAATTCCTAAATTTATAGGTGAATTATCTTGCATTATATTGTTTACATTATTATTATTGTTATTATTAATATTCCTCGACTCCTCATTTGAACTTGTTGATGAAATAGGACTTTCATTTAAAGAAGAATTATTTCCAGAATTTCCTGATATTAAAACTAATGCAGATTTAACTATATCATTAATATAATCTTCAATTTCTGACATATCTTCTAATTGTACCGCAAAAATTGCTATCGAATTCTTAATACTATAATGAGTATGATGTAACGATGGAACATTAAGAATATTTTGAAAAAATTTTATTGTAAATGCGATATTTCTTCTTGAATCCTTGGATCGTAATTGATCTTTTAAATTATAAATGTGAATGAAACCTGCATATAAAGCGCAATGAATAATAAATTTCTTACTATTAATCACATTAACAAATTGTTCATTAACAAGTGATGTAATATTATTTGCTGCTAATGTACAAGCATTCAAGCTAACATTATTGAATGGAATATTTGGATGATGAATCCTAATCATTGCATAATTATAAAGAATACAAAGATAAATACGAAGATGTTCGATTGTCGTTTCATCATAAACTTTATCAAGTCCTTTTGCTTCATCAATAGATAAATAATGAGGTAATTGTTTCTTCCATGTGCTCAATTTATCTTCTAATAAGTTTATATTATTATCATTATCACTTAAATTAAATTCAAGTATTTCATAAATAATATTTGTGATCGTCAAATATGACCTAAAATATACTGTAATTTTATTCTCTGTATCATCAACACAATTATCATCCGGATACCCAATATTGCAATGATTATCCTGAAACGCCAACATTCTATTTAATGTAATACATTGTAACCTGTTTGCTATTGCAATACTCCACCATAACTTTTTTTTTAAAAAAAAAAAAAAAAAAAAAAAAAAAANAAAAAAAAAAAAAAAAAAAGAAAGAAATTAGATAAATTAGAAAAATAATAAACCTTAAAAATAAAGAAGAAAAAGAAAATTCTTTTTATTTACTCTTTTTCTTGCTTCTCTCTCATAGACAGATAAAGTTTCAGGAAATGCATTTTTATCATGAAATCTCATTGTAATGGCTAATGTTGTTGCCATACCGACATACATACGGCTTCTTAGGCTACGTAATGCATCAAATATACCCAAAAGGAAGAGTGCAGTAGCTGTACTGAGGCGAGGAAGATCAAAATAATGTTTTACCATATCTAGATAAAAAAAATTTTTAATTTTCTTTATTTATTTATTCATTTAATATATATAATATATATAAAAAAGGATATTATAACATAGACTAAACCTTTTTAATATATATATTACCCCTATATCTTTTCCCCCCTTTACCTCCCAAAATCTCTTACCTTGAGCACTTTCATAGAAAGCTAGACCAACTGTATATGGATTATTACCATCTTGTCTAGCACTTGGATTATTGGTATAACTTGAACCAATAGCACATACAGCATTTAATAAGAGCGGCGACATTAATTTGTTCTTATCGTTAAATCTTTCCATAAAATAAGCCTTATGTAATACGGGTAAAAAAGGATGAAAATTCTTAAAATACAAATTTACTAAATGTCCCGTGAAATTGACATCATCTAATAATGCGTTATTAGATTGTATACGCGGAGGAGAAGATTCTTCAACTTGAGGGACTTGTACATAACGTTTAAGTTGTTGTCGTACTTGTATCTCGTTCTGTAAAGTTGTTGATATATACAATTTGATCATATATTCATAATCATTTTTATTGCTATCAGGAGTAGGTAAATCCTGTGGAATAAATTTTTTTCTACTACTATTAATAGATAAATTTAAAATTGAAGAAGATGATGTCTTTTTTGCATTTTGTTTTGCATTTTGTTGAGGGATAACATGAGAACTTGCTCTTCTTTGACGATTTGTAGAAGTATTTAAATTCACCACTACATTTTCAGTATTATTCGTCGCAGAGGATGGGGTTTTTGATCTTGAGGGATTTCGACCCGTTTGTCGGGACGTAGAATTAGCTTTAGAAGATGACTGACTATTTGTGCGTGTTGTTTTTTGACCATAAGTACAATCCAAATTAACAGATACGCAATATTTACATGGTGTTTGATTATAACCATCACCGTCGCATTTTACCTAATTATTTATAGATCAAAAAAAAAAAATGATTATTAATTTTTTTTTCATACATAAAGAATTTTTTTGTTTCTCTTAATTATGCTAATATTCGTGTTTTTTTATTTACTTTACGTCTTCTACATCTATCGCACGCGATTGTCTTTAGTCTTTTATCTCGCGTTGGAGTATCTGTCGAACCAGAAACTGGTCTTTTACCCCCAGGGGGAGTCATGGACGTGGACATAACGTGTAGCGAAACAGACACGAGTTGAACGGGTCTAAATTGTTTCGTTTGAATTTTAATTTTTTTTCGTCCTTTTTTTAAACACAGAATTTTTTTTTATAGTGATAAAAAAGTGGGATTTTAGTTTCAAAATAAAATAATAAAGTTTTAAAAATAACTTATTATTATTAATAATCAAATATAAATATACTAAAATATTAATAAAAAATTTATACAAGGAAAATTTATAATATATATATATTTATTATAAGTTTTACTTTGACGTTTGAAAATTATGATATTCTTCATTTACGTAATTGCTTTTGAGAATGCAGGACTTAGTGTGACATATTTGGAATTATTTTGTGACACTTTCTTCATTATATAAAAGTCGATAATAATATATTAATAGACGTATAAATCAAAAAAAAATAATTTTTTTTTTAAAAAAAAATCATTTTCCCTTTTTCCTATATATATGAAAGTGAAATTTTATCTAGAACCTAAATCCATCTTCCGTGCTATTCCTTACTAGGTAATGATTTTATACACTCTACATAATATTAAGATTTACATTTTTTTTTTTTTTATTGTTTTTACTATAAATCATTTTTTTATGAACTCCGGAGATAAAAAAAAATTTGGGACTCAACGAATTAGTTAAATCAAATCTGTTCAAATTTGTCATCGAGTTACCTTAATAAAAGCTCCTTTAATATTGTACGTATTCCTTCTATTGTTATGACTCAATGACTCACGACAGATGATCTTATATATTTAATTGGCACTATGGACAAATGACCATGTGGCTTATTCTTTGTCACGCAAAATTTGGGGGGTCGCCGATCGCTCGAAATAGCTAAAAATATATAATTTCTTTTAGTACTTTTAGTACATGCTTCTGGATCCCTTTGTGATATCATAATATGACCAAAGGAATGTATGTATTTCTTTTTCTAAATGTATACAATTGATTAACATGCATCGTTTTGAAAATTAGTTAAATTATATTGGTTCGTATTTTCTTGTAAATAAATTTGACAATGGTTTGACATTGGCAAGCAAATAATTTGTATTTTAACCAGTAAATAAATTATTATTATTATTTTTTAATTGTTTCACGTAGGATATGATTAAAGCATATAACGTTAAATCCTTTTGATAAAATTAAAATGATTTAAACAGATAAGTCATAGAAAATATGATTTATTCCATTTTTATATCGTATAAAATTTTATGGAATATAGATTACTTTTTTTTGTCTTTTTTTTTTTTTTAAAAAAAAAAAAATAAATAAATGAATAAATAAATAAATAAAAAAAAGGATAGAGAGAAAACATTCCCCGCAGCAAGTGCAACGAAAATCCCAGCTTTTAAATGATAATTGATAATGCATTCAATTTCGTTTTTTAGATCGTCACAATGGACAAGAAAATCAAAACATTAAAATGCTTTTTTGTAAGTCATATGATTGGTGTTCACGATTACAAGAAATTATCGTATTATTCGGAATTTACGTAAACTTTGATTTTTTGACAATGATTAAGACTCCAATCACATTTCCATTAATGTATTCATTCATTTACTGACTGGTTTTTAGAAAGGCTAACTTTATTATGAGATTACTATACCCCACATTAGTATATTTATGTATATATACATATGTATTATATATACATTATATACATATATAAATACACATATATACGCATATGAATGTGAAACTATGTTAAATATGTCAAAGAAACAAACAAAAGTACAAATCCAAGAAAATTTTTTTTTTTTTTTACCTATTAAAAGTAGAGTTTAATATGCTTCTTTGATCGTTGTTTGGTAAAATTATTGGAACCAGAATTCCACAAGTAGAATTTATGCAAACAAATTAAAATGGTCTAAATGGCAAAATGAGTTAACGGGATAAAAAAAAAAAAAAAAAAAAAAGAAAGAAAAAATAGAAAAAAAANAAAAAAAAAAAAAGAAAGAAAAAATAGAAAAAAAACAATAAAAATAATAATTTTTTTAAAAGGATGTCATATATTCGTTCAAAAGTTAAGTTTGTGTTTTATTAATAGGTATCATTGTAGAAAAGTTGATTTCTATAAGTAGAGATAATTTGCACTGTTTTTCATTTATAGTAAGTAAAACTTGGTTCGCTTAACAATGCAATATTCGTCATATGTATCACATATATACTTTGGTTGGTCGTAATTTTTTTTTTTTAAATTTTGTTACACAAGAACTGCTATTGTTTCATTTACGCGATATAAGTAGGTCACATACATTAAATGCGGTTAATTAATCACAAAATTAATTCTGGGTTTTTAAAGTTTAACAACTTTATTTCTAAAAATAATTGTCGATTTTTTCTTTTTTTTCTTTGAGTCATTATGCATAAAATTTTTTTAAAAAATCCAAGGTTTCCTTCATTCGCAGCGAAAGAAGTCATTTTCTAGAAAGAAAGGTCGATATTATGATTTCGGATATTGTTATACGCCATTTGTAGTCATCTGGCAACATTTAATCATTAAATTATAATACAATTACTAAAGGATATTGTTATCCGTTTGATAATGTTGTTTTACGACATATTCTAGACCTTTTATGTAAAATTCCCATAGAGTCCAATATAAGAAAGATGGCACCAAACACAAAATATAATAAATTATATATATATATATTTTTTAAGCGTAAAATTTACTTGAATGCATTGTAGTCATTTATACACTTAAACAGATTATGAAACATTAAAAAAATGCGGTGTGATATAAATTATTTAAATGTTTTTCTAAATTTAAAACCTAAATTCATAACAAATATGAATTGTGACGCAAATTATTTTACACTACTTGGACCAAAAAATTATATTTTGTTTTATTTAAGTAACCAAAAAAAAACAGACGGATAAATAACGGATAAACCGATGATTACTCAATGATATTACAAAATTGCGCAGAATGATTTAAGAAAATTTTTTTTTTATTTTTGTAATGTGTATAATGTGTATTATTTTTCTTTTCATTATCATCATCGTATTTTTCTTTTTTAAGTCATTTAATATTTCAATTATTATTATAAATAAGGATAAAAAAAAAAAAATTTACTAATTTATATATTATACAAAAAAATTGCGGAATAACTTTTACAAAAAACGAACAAGTGGCTTCAATGTTTTAAAAAAAAAAAAAAAAA